TTTGTACATACATACTTGCAGAAGCCCTGTAAGGTCCATGACCCAGCCCACTGAAGAAGGTAGCATGTCCTTTATTCTCCTTTGCATCTGACATGGTGAGATGCTCGTTTTGCAGACATGATATGTGTAAGTTTAATTTCTGAATCAAACAAAGGAAAAATTCCTGGGCATTTTATGTGCATTTTTCTTAATATGATCACAGAATCAGAGTTAGCTATTTAATCCCAAACGAGACATGATCTCACTGGAGTTCGTCCCTTGACTAAGTTTTGGAGTTCCACCCCAGGACAGCGTCGACTGCACTGCCTATGAGCTTCATCTCCTCCCTGATGTCAGGGATGTGTTTGGAAGGAGGGGGTGTCTCTAGCGAATGTTTTCCAAACAAATATTTTGTGGGAATTTCACTGTTCTTTTCAGTAAAAGCTATTTAGTGGTCAATCTGGAAACCAAGGACGGAACAAGTTGTCTTGTTAAAATTCTTCAATCAAAAGGTATTTGTTTTATTTGGTGGGTTTCATTAGAAATGAGAGGATCGGGTCATTAGAGGGAAGTGGCAAGACCTATCAGGAGCACCTGGAACACTTTTTCAGAGACACTGTTAAATTAGAGGCCTGGGAAATGTTCCTAAGAATAGGCCTTGAATGCAGCCTCAATAACATATTCTGCAACTTCCCGACAGTGACTATTTCAAATGTTTTCCATTCCCTCGAAATTGCTGTTCCTGTCTCTTCTGTTCTCCATCCTTTTATTTACTAGGGAAATAAAACCACCATTTCTTGCCACCCGACCTTTATGTAGGCCTGATTGCAGCTGTACAGGTTCTTTCCTTGGAATCATCCTGGACAGTTCTTCATCCCTCCTTCTTTGTCCCCTCCCTCCCTGATACATTTCTGATGATGGGGGATTCAGACTTCCAGCTATCTCTTGAGTCTCTTTCCTGTGCTTTAGTCCCCTAAGTTACACAACATCTCCTTTACTGCACCCCCATCGTAGTCTGGCCAGTCCATTCTCACCACCACTGCCAGAATGCAGTCTTTTAAATGCTAATCAGACTCCCTTGGTGGAAGTCCTCTAATCCTTCCTCAGAGCAATCAGTGTTCTTTACCCTGATGTACCAGATGCTGCGCTGCTCCGACTCCTATCTCACACTTCTGCTAATTACAGTTCAGGGCTTACATGGTTTGTCCTAACCGGTTGTATTCAGTATGAACAGACTAAAGTTATAAATTACACCTTTTGGGAAATGTGACTCATGAGTAACTGCGGCAGAATGGATTCACTGAAGACCAAAAACAAACACATCCATGGTTTCTAAGAGGGTAGGAAGCTATCCAAGAGTGAGAAAGGCCAAATGTGAAAACAAGTTTATTCATTAGTAGAGCTTTAAGCTGAATATTTACAGTTTCCTTAATATCCGATAGGGACTTAAGTGCTTACTAAATTATATGGGAACATTTAAAAGTCTGAATCATTTTTTGCAGTATCTCTCTTAACAAGCCAGCAATTTTAAACTAGTTTCTTTTCCACTTCATTAAACAAATGACAACTTTAATAAGGCATAGTAGTGTGTATAATTTGATGAGAATATACCCTAATATATCAACTAAAGACCAATTTTTTTACTGATCCAATCATTAGAAACAAGAAGCTTTCTCTCTACATGCTACCCCCATTCATAGATGCTTTGAACTTGAGTTTCGATGGAATTGGGCCTTTGAAGTGACATTTTAAGTGGGATCTAGACTGATCATGGGCTGCACATAAAGACGAGGCACTTGGAGGAGAACAACCAGGACACTGAGCGGACCCTAAACCAGGGCTCATCACACGGGGCCGTGCTGAGCAGACAGGTGGGCTCCCACGGGCCGACTGTGCACACCTCCTACCAGCCCACGTCTGAGGGGTCACACCAGGAACTCAAAATCAGCCATGTGTGGAGTACTTGTGCCACAGAAATTCGCAAACTCTACCAATCAGCCCGTTTTTCCCCTCAGAGAGCCCACTGTTAAAATTTTCCGGCACCCCACTGCTTATAAATTCAGTTGACCAGACGTCCCGAGCAGCCCTGGTTGACTCCTGTTGCCTTAATAACTCACCACTTTATCATTTGCCCATATCCTCTTCACCCTCAAAAATGACACATGTGAGCCCTGGCTGGCGTAGCTCAGTGGACTGAGCGTGGGCCTGCGAACCAGAGTATCGCGGTTCGATTCCCAGTCAGGGCACATGCCTGGGTTGCAGGCCAGTTCCCAGCAGAGGCCAGTTCCCAGCAGGGGATGCACCAGAAGCAAACATACATTGATATATCTCTCCTCTCCTTCCCTTCCCCTCTAAAGATAAATAAATAAAGTCTAAAAAAAAAGAAAAAAAATGACACATGAAATAATCAGTATGCCTACCAGGAATAGTAGGATGCTTCATAAATTTTTCACTGGAAGAAATAGAGACTTAGGAGGTAAGTTAGGAAGTAAGAAGCAACCATAAGATTCTTAACTTTTTTATTTTTGTCTGAAGAACTGGCTGTTTAAAGTAGTACAAGACTCGTTTCGCAGAGGGACAGCATGAGGACAGGAAAGTGTTGTGAATGCTACAAGGAGACATATTTTTATCTGAGTCTGAGGCAGGACTTCCTCCCCGGTGGAGCTGAGTCCTCCTCAAATAGGAAGAGAGCACGTGGTGGGGGATGGGGTCAGTGAGACCCCTGTCAGTGAAAATGCTGAGGCAGAGCCTGTGGGCCTGCTGGAGGGGATATTGTTGAGGGCCTCGGGCAATGAATTCTTGTATCACTGCTCTCCTGAGGATTCACATTTTGCCTGGAACCTTCCCCTGACAGTGCCCGAATCAGACCTTTTGGCAGTTCCCACAGGGTTGTTGCTTGGTAATGTGAGTGTTTAGGAGCCGGTACAACCAGCCAGAAAACCAGTTCATTTAAATTCAGAAGAAGGAAAAAAAAAAAAAGATCCAAACAGACAGTCTTATTAATCCTCACTGTTCAATTTTAAAATTAAATACTTTGCGAGGAAGTGCACACTAACCAACTTACTGCTGATTCCAGATTTTGAAATCTAGTAGGTAATCTATTCCATTGTAGCACAGTCTGGCCAAAGAGAAGAAAATAAGTCAGTGAGTTTCCAATAACTTTAGAATCACAAGTAATGGGAGAGAGTTTTATAAATAGTGGAAAAAGAACACATTGTTTAGTAGTGAGGACTTCAGTCACTCCCCCGCGTCCTGGGGTAGCCAGGCAGTCAGAATGATAGGAAGCTCGCTGGCCTGCAGCAATGGGGCCTGTGAAGCTGGTTCGGGTCTCTGGAGGCCTGGTGTCAGCAGTGGCTGAGGCCCTGTGAAACCACTTAAAGTTCTTCCTTGGGTATGGAAAATCTGGTTACGAGAAACAGTTCCGTCCAATAGCTAGCTAGTATCTATATTGTGCAGATACAGTAAGTACTGTTTCTCTCTATTTCAAATTACTTTACTCAGTTTGTTTATCATGTGGATCCTGTAGTGAAACTGTGAGATCAAACAGGACACCTTCCTCAACCCCACCAAAAACACTTACTTTTTAGCAGAAATGACACACAAGAGTAATTGAGGGACATTTACTTAATTAATAATGTAGCAACATCTTAGCTGATGAATTGTAACATTTCACACTAAAATAATACAAAATAAAAAGCTCTCTTCATGAACAAAATACCCTCCTGACCCCCATATTCCTTCCCATCTATCACTGTGTTTTTCTCCTGCATCTGTCAGCAGAACTCCCGACAGATGAGCCGCACACGGAGTCCAGCTCTGCTCGCCCCGCTCCCCCTTGTTCCGGTCCAGTCGGGCACTTGCCTTCCTAACTCTACTGGGGTGTCTTTCATCAAAGTCACCAGTGACATCACACCACCACATCCAATGGCCAGTTCTCAGTCCTCATCTGAACCTATCCCCTGTCTCTGGCAGATGGTCAGTTCCTTTTTCTTGTCACACTTTCCTCACTTCACACCATGCATCATGGTTTTCCTTCAATTTCAAGCAATTCTCTTTGTTGGATCCATTCGTCTTCCCAACCGCAGATGGGCTGCCCTGGACCTTGGTCACTGGAACCTCCCTTCGAACGATTTTCACTCTGCAAAGTCCTAGTCCCTGCTCATGGTTTCAGTGACTGTGTATGCTGACAGCTCCCCCTCTTACACCTCCATTCTGCATCTCTCAACTCCAAAATACTGGACGGTCCACCTGACATTTTTATTTCGTCAGAGCACATGTCCAGTTCCCACAACCAGACCTCAGCCATGGAGACCCCTCTTCAAACTTCCTCTTTCCCAGTTCTGTCATCTCAGTAAGTGACACAGTGTTCACTCAATTCCTTATAAATGCCCACATTTCCATGACAACTTCGCCCAAATTATAAAACTTCCTTATAGCTGAGAAATGAACATTGACTAAGAAGCTCAGGCCCTCCCTTATCCCGAACTTCGAAGAGACAAACAAACAAGCCATAAAACAAAGCCAACTTCTCAGAAAAAACATCTAAACCCTACACTTGGGCAAGAAGCCATTTGCCATAGGTGTGGGATTACATAGTCAGGGTGTGTGTTGACACAGAAAAATCTTTATAATGGCAGTAATAGAGCACCTACATTTAAGAAAGGCACTCGGGGGAAGTACGAGTGCTGGAGGTACTCGTAAGAGAAAGTCCAGGTTTCCCGGACGGTGATAAGCTCAGGGGCCGTTTTGTGATTCGGGGAGATCCTTGTTACGGAATAAGCTCCCAGGGGTTTGATCGAAAGGGATGCAGATGGGCAGGCTGTTTGTCCTTGAGTCTTGCTTTCTGTAAGCCACCACTGGCAAGACTGTCCGCTACGTGTAGGCATGGGAACCAGTTAAAGAAAGTGTCGATTCACCAGAGAGAAGCCGAGAACTCAGTGGCCTTTGTGTGTGTGAATGTGTCCGGAAAAGCAAAGGAGAGTGAGATTCTCCCGCGGGCTTTCTCGTCTCCATGGTGGTAGGTGCTGGCAGCCTGAGACAGAGCACGAAGGAGCAGACAGCAAAGACCCCGGAGGTGTCGAGCTGCCGTGCTCTTGCAAGATGAAAAGGATACGGGGTTTGGACCTGAACTTCATTATCGGTTCCTAAGGTAAGACCATTCAGTGGGTTACGGAGTGATCTAGGCTGGAGCCAGTTGCTCACCTGCTCTCTCAAGCTCGTTCTTTTTTGTAGCATGCCTGCACACAGACACCTGCCTGGTGTTTCCTTTGGCTCAGTAGGCATGCGCTATCGCTCCACGGGCTGTGGCTGGGAATAGTCTGTCTTTCTCTCATCTAATCTCTGGGGAGTGCTGAACCAAACAGATTAAGAATGTGTGTGCCATTTATAGATCAGTCAAGGGAAGTCACATTCAGGGAGAAGGAGACTCAGAGCGTGATGAATTAGCCAGCCGAACATGACTTACCAACGTGGGACAATGAGGAAAAGGATGAGTCTTTAATTTCCTGTGGAAACAGTCATTCATACAACTGGCTCTCTTTATGTCTTTGTCACTCTTCCACTGTTCCAAAGGGACAGCGAAGTGGCATTAAGAATTTGAAACTGTGTGATAAAATATGCTGTCATTAGCTTATAATTAATTGCATCTATACAACCAAAAATATAGACAGAAATGCTGTAATGACTCATTAGGGAAAAAAAACGTGCTGAAAGGTAACTTCAATGCATAGTGAGCTCCTCAAGTGCTGAAGTCTGATTAGGCATAAAAGCACTAGGTTTTCTCATGTTCAGTGTTTTCCTTCTCCTCGCCATTGACCTTCGATTTGCACTCAGGACAGTTGCTATGGAGCAAATAACAGCCAGCGTACGCCAGGCCTTCAGGTCCCTGTGTCACTAGTGGAAGAAGCAGAGGCTGAAATAACACAGCCTGTCTCCTCAGAAGTTCCAGGGCTGTGTGGGTGCTTGGCTGTGGGTTTGGCCATAACTATGTTTTATTTATAAAACTCTCTAAGCTTTTTTTTTAAATAAAAGAAATCCCCTTCTTTTACTTTCTTACGAAGGTTGAAATAATTCTGAGAATTCAGAAGGAGCTGAGGGGCCATATTTCCAGAGGGCCTGAAAGCCTGTAACCCTGCAGAGCCCAGATTGGCTTCTTGTTAGCAGCGTGGCCTTCCCAAGTTCCTTAACATCTCTCTGCCTCCTTTTCAGAAGCCTCTAGTGAGCTCTACCTCTTAGGTGTTATTGAATCTCATTTGATAGGGTACCTGGAGCAAAGAAAGAACAAACTAAGTGGGAACAGTAATAATTAGCTCTGTTCCAGAGAGGAGCTGTTGACAGGGATATGGGTTAAATAGCTAAGCTTGGAATACTATCTCAAATGACTCAACTCCAAGAAACATACCTCTCGTTCTCAGGTTTGTGAAAATACCAAGCAATTGCAATTTTGTAATGAGGAAGGTGGGATACTGTTACAATACCAAAGGTCGTTCTGGCAAGGCATACCAGCTCTGACCTGCTTCTGATGTGGTTTCGGGGACCAGTGGTGTTCAGCTTTCTGCTTGCAGACACCTCCGCATTCCATCCCTGGCCTCGCCCCTCTGATGAGCCCAGTCTCTGCAGGCCAGTGATGCCACCAGGGTCAGGGAAGATATGTTGGGATGGGCTTGCCTGAGGGGTAATGAGGTTCAAGAAGCGAGTTAGGGCCAGGGACATTCTTTTCTGTATACATAGTTTGATACAGAGAAGTCAGTCATTTCACATTATGATCTTTTCAAATCAAAACATCTGCCTCTCTCATTGGCACTGTGGCTGTTTCAAATCAGCTAAGGCAAAGTCGCTGTTTTGTCCAAGTGATAAGCTGCCCGTGAAAACCACTGACATTCTCACAGGGCACCTGCTCTTATTATACAGGGTTACCTGAGGCAGTTCTCATCATTACTCTTTTCAAAGGGATGGGGATCCAAGACGTAAAATAACTGGTCTGAGTTCACATTAAGTGGTAGGGATGAGACTCAAACGGAAATCGGACTGACTACGAAAATCAAATCTAAGTGATAAAAGGAAATGCTTTTTCATTTGTATTACATACGTATTACCTCTGCAATGACTGGTTGTGATAAGAACTTCATAAGACCTTCCTGGGACTCAGGTCATCAAAACCTAAATTTGGTTCACCTTCAAGAGATAGCCTGTCCAAACTCACAGTGGGAATCGGGGCCACCCTGATCTAGAACCCTCCCTCTGACCTCGAAAACTTACCTGTCAGCCATCGTTCTGGGATTTCCCTAATTTTTCACCAAGAAAATCCATGATTCAGTATGAGAAGGTTTTTTGTTGTTGTTTTTTTAAGTTTCGGACGTATACAGAGGTACAAAGTTAAAATGAAAACAGATGAGCTAAAATTGAACAAAGGCATGGATCATACAAAAACACGGGTCAGTGTGATCTTTCTGTTGGCATGACAATATGGCTCATCATTATTTTTAAAAAATAGGAAAAAACGCAAGTGCTTTCTATTTTGATGAGAAGATGAGGTCTTTCTGGCACTGTTTATTTTTAATCTCCTTGGATATTCTTTCACCACTCTTCCTCTCAGAAGATTGGGGTTAATGCTATTTACTAGTTAATGAAAAACAACATAACCTAACCCTTTATATCTGCATGTGAAAGGAGACCTTCCAAGGCATCTAGGTCAGCCGCCTGAATACTCAGGAAATTCTAACCTGTATTCTTCAAGTTGACTATCCAAATTCTGAGCAAAGAGTCCCCATTTTCACTAGATGGTTAGAGATGCTAATAATAAAGTCATTCTTCTGGATACAGATATTAAATCACCCCCTGTAAGGTCTCCGAGCTGGAGTGCAGCGTCCAAACCACAAAGATGACAGAATGCAGATCTCTCAGCCAGAAGACAGTGACTTAGAGGCAGAATCGAAAGATCCTGGGTGAAAGATCCATCCAAAGGCCCTGGGTGTCTGTGATGAGTGGACCTACATTATAACTGTGAAAGTGAAGGGAAGGGGGCAGTGGCCATAATTTGCCACTGAAACCTCATGGCTATTAGAACATTGACTTAAAAAGAAATGATTTGTATGTCTCGCACAATTTTAGAGCACTATAAATTTTATTTTCTGTGTATGTTCCTTAATCAATGATATCTTTTTATTATTAAATCTCCCTTTGCATCAACCCCATCCACATTTGCTAGTTACACCCTCCGTCATCACGCAGCCAGACCCCTTTCTCGACTGCAGGAAGATGCAGTTGAGGGTGGAGATCGACCTGGAGCAGTGTCGTGTTTTACTTCACTCCGCATGTCCAGATCACAGCACCAGAAATACAGCCACTGCTCAGGAAGCTGTATTGAGTTTCAAATGCATAAGTGTATATTTTCTTTAATATTTTCTCCTTCAGTCATCCTAGGCCATCTTTAGCTCCACTCCACCATTATAGTGACTTCTCTTAAAAAGCGGGTCATCCAGAGTTGAACATTATACTTTAGATATGAAATATCCGTAATTAATATCCACAATTACTACTTGCCCTCGAAATTCTGTGGATGAAAAACTGCTTTTGCGGAACCTTTGCCTTGGCTGTCTGGGACAGTTATACTTGTAAGCTCACTTGCTGCTCCTCCCATTCTCGCCGCTCACCTTTGCTGGTCTTCTGGGCCTGATACTGCTCCGTTTTTAGTGGAATAAATTGCCTCCGTTTCCCTGCTGTGGATTTCTCCCATAAGTGGAGCTAAGGGCATTCAGTTCCACATGCAGGCCCCTCTGCTCCTGGTTTTGAGATGGGTCAATGCATAGAGGACCCAGGTGGCTCTAAATTATCTCAGGGGCTCAGCCAGCATCTCTTGCAGCTAGTTCTTCTTGAACTCATGTCCCAGGCCTACTGACTGGGTTTCCTCTTTTTCCTGAGATTAATTTGCAAAACCCACCTCGCCCTGGTTCTGGCTGCAACAGCTCTTCTTCTCATCAAGGCTTTGAACCATGAGATGATTCTCTTGTTGTCCTTTTCCCCCAACTTTCACTACTTGCATAACCCTGGATAAATCTACCAGACGAGTGAAGCTCCAGTTCCTCCTCCTTAAAATGAGGGTGATATTAATACCAGGGTCTCAGGATTTGGGGTAAAATTAAACACATTCATGTATGTCAAGTGAGTGACACTTAACTAGGCTGAGATTGCATCGCACCCTGATTCTCCCTCAGTCTGGGGCCCCCACACCCAGGGCCCAATGATTCTGGTCACATGTCTTTGGTGCGGAGTGCTCGCCTGCCTGAACAGCTGCATGCAGCCTGCTCTCCCCTCCGTCAAGCTCCCGGCTCTGTGTTTCCCTCCCTTCCTGTTCCGTGGCCTCTCACTCAGTGGCTGGTGAGCTGATTAACTAAAGCCTTATCACCCTTTCCTCCTACCCTGTCCTCCAGTAGCTTAACTGAACCTCCGCCCTCCACAGTCAAAGCTGCACCTGCCTCCACACACAGCAGATGCTCCCTTCCAGGTCAGTCCTAAATTCTTGGCCTTTGGCCCTAGGACTCTGGCCAGTATATTGCCTGTTAAGCCACCTATATCAGCTTTGATTATTAGATAGGCATTACTATCTTCTTGCCAGATCAGTGCTCTAGGCCATTGGGGTGACTCTCTTAGGTCCCCAGGCCCACAGGCTACAGAGTGAAAAGCTACGTACGGGTGGTGCCCTCCACAGCCAGCAGCTAGACCAGCCTCAGCACCGATCTCCAGTCCCCGGAGGCGGAAACACTCACAACGCCAGCTGCCCTCCATCGGCAGTGTTACGTCTTAAGCAAATTCTAGACTCTCAGAATAGTACATTTTTTACTCACGTGCAGTTTCTTTTAAATGAAGAGGGAAATGTGGTTGTTTTTTTTTCTTCATCCCAACCTTAGTTGTTTTGTATTCTTTCGTGAGAGAGTCAGTCAGGTGTGGCCATGGGTGGAGATGGCGTCAAGGCTGAGGAAAAAACAAAGCTGATTATACTCACAGGCCTTCGAGACAGGAGACACAGCAGGCCACAGAAGAGCACATGGGAAGACACTGGGGTGGCCAAGAGGCAGGTGGCAGGAATGAGGGGAAGGTCTAAGTCACAGCCTCTGCCAGGGTTTCCTCAGAAAATGGCAGACAAGGCAGGGC